GAGCAGGACAGAGCCTGCAGAAGGCCACGGGCGGGTAAGACAGTTTCCCCCGTGGTCAGCTCTGGCTTTGGCGCTGCTTTCTCCTAGCAGGGCCCACGACTGAGGGGAGCAGGGCCGATTGGACTCGGAATGTTTCCCGAGGGCCCAGTGAGAGACTTCTGTGGTCAGTGCTGTTACCACCATGTGCAGATGAGGACACCGAGGCTGTGTTCGGGCTGAGGCTGGGTCAGGGCTCGCCGCCCCAAGCAAGTGGCTGTAACCGGTATATTCTGCAGAATCCACCGGAAGTGGAGTGGCGCAGGGACAGCGAGGGGCGAGGGACTCAGAGGGAGCCGGCCAGCACCACCGTGTAGATGGGAAGGCGGACAGCGCAGGACCCGGGGCGGAGGGAGGAGCACAGCACAGGGGACCAGAGCGAGCAGCACACAGGCTGGGGACCAGGGTGAGCCAGACCTGAGTGGGAAGCCCGCTCTGCCCCTTTCTTTTGAGGGCAGAACCCACAGTCTCACAGGTGTTAGACAAGCACTCAGGCACTGAGCCACACACCTCCGGGCCCTTTTCAAAGTTTATTGTGAGACAAGCTCTCCATAGCCCAGGCTGACCTCAAACTCGGGATCGTCCTGCCTCAGCCTCCTGAGTAGGGAGGGTTATAAGTGTGTCACTGCACGGGCCACTGTTTTGTGACGCTGTGCTCAACACTCCCCAGCTGCAGCCTGCAATCCCTCAGCGAGGGAACAGCAATAACAGCCCCGCCTGTGGCTGTGTGGGGTGCTTGCTAAACACCCTGCTTTGCGTGACATGGAGTCGGCGCATCCCGAGAGCAGATGACTGCGTGCGCTGGGCGCAGGGCTGAGCTATGTGATCTTGGGCAAGTTGCGTCCCCTCCCCGTCTTCTCTGCCAATCCTGGTGACCTCGACAGCTCAGGCAGGCTGGCGCTGGCTGACAGTCCCCAAGGGTGGGCTCCCGCTCCGTCCTCCCAGGGAAGGCGCCCGCTGTCAGGCCAGCCTGCCCCTGCAGCTGTTGGTCACCTCTTCGTGTGTCCATGGCTGTGACGTGCGGAGGGCGGGGCTGCTGCTGGGTGTGGGCTTTTCTTTCACAGAGAGAGTCATGACCAGATGGAACATTTGATGTCACAGAGTCCCTAGGAAAGCCCAGGAGGTGGCAGGAGCCAGGGTCCTGCCCCCGCTGGGCCTCCTCTGTCCTCCCTAACCTCAGGTGGGGGCAGGACAGCGATGGTGCCCACATCGACAGCCCTGTGGGTCCCCTCTGTGTCCCCTCTGAGGCTGGAGATCCCTTCGGCAGCTGCTGGATCCCTGTGCCCCCACGAACACTGTGCTCAGGTCTACTCCGAGCCCCAGTCTCTGCTTCGCAGTGGAGTCTGTCCTGGGGCTCCCACATTTCAGATGTTTGCAGCGTAGTCAAAGAAGCAGAAAATTAAGTCTGCGTGGCATTGTTACTTCATCTGCCAGGGAAGGACATTCATTTTACAAAGCAGCCAGCACCTCCCGGCCCCTCACTTCCTAGAAGGACTTTTGCCTCTGAAAGAACCCCAGGAAAAAGCCTTAAATAAGGATGATCACTAGGTAGCCAGGCATGGTGGCAGCACTGTGGTTACAGTATGCTGGGAGGCTGAAGCAGGAGGATCGAAAGTTGTGAGCCTGGGAAACTTAGCAACTGAATGAGACCTTGTCTCAAAACAAAACAAAAAACGGACAGCGATGCGCACATCCTGCTGCTCATTGTGTCCTGGGCCAGCTGCTGCATTTGGGGGCTTGGGAAGCCGGGGAGCACCTCCCCAACCCCCCTGTTTCAACTGTTTCATGTCACTCCATGACCCTCCAAAAGACCCCACCTGGGACAAGGCCAGGAAGATAAGTGGCCATAGGGCTGGGGGAGGCCCAGAGGCTAAGAAGGGGAAGGACTTACAGGGTTCAGGCCGCAGGGCAGCGCAGAGCCCCGGCCAGCTGGGCTCCCTGCGCTGGGTCTCTCCATTCCAGTCCATGCAAGCGAAAGAAGCCAGACGCTGTCTCCCAGAGAGTTTAATGATAGGAACAACACGGCTACCAGCACAGCCAGGGCCCCCTACCCCCACAGTGCCGAGAGCGGAACCCAGGGCCTCGTGCACACCACTGAGCTACACCCCAGCCTAACGTTTTGTTAAAAAAAAAAAAAAAAATCAAGTCTCTATATTCAGAGGAGACGACACTGAGCTAATGCCTCATGTCCCCTCCTGCCGTCTGGGCCGCTCCTTTCTGCACCTTCCCTGGGGCCCCTGTGCCTTCTCCGGGAAGCCCTGTATGGCACTGCCCCAGTGGGTGTCTGTGTGCTGTGTCCCGGACACAGGTGAGCCTCTCCTCAGTGACAGAAGGGCGGCACAGGAGTGGGTGCCCACGTCAGAGTGAGTGTGCGGGGTGCACAGGGCCTCGGGCTGCCCCGGCCATGGGCTAGCTGAGACTCTGTCACCAGACTGTCCCTGAGAGGGACAGTGGCAGTGCTGTGGAGGGGAGGCCCAGCAGCCCATAGCCTTGAGGGACGGGCTCCTCAGCCCTCACCCCCAGGACCCTCTAGAAGCCACCAAGAGTCCTCTCTGCTGTGCCAGCTCAGTGCCTGGTACCAGCCGGTCCTGTCGGACAGAGGACGGGGGCCCAGCTGGGTTTGGCTCCGTCCGGCCTTGGGCAAGGCCTCAGCCACCAAGATGTGGGCCACCAGCCCTGGTCCTCTGTCCTCTGTTGCAGACATGTGGACGGCAGCCCAGGGCCTGTGTGCCCTCCTCCCTGGCCCCTGCCCCCACCAGGAAGGAAACGGGTGAGCCCAAGGCTTCCTTCCAGAGCATGAGGCCCGTGGACAGAAGTCACTCAAGTCCTCTGTCCCCGACATCCTGGGCCTCTGATGTGGAAAAGGGATCTTGAACTCGGTGACCTTGCGTTCCTCCAGCTGTGGGTGGGACATGGAGGGGATTGGTGACAGAAGACATCCCTGGACACTCAGGTTGCCAGAAGGTGCACCAGGCGTCCAGCCCTCTCAGGTCACACTTGGAGCCCAAGCTCTGGGACTCAGGGAGGTGGCAGAGACTGTGTGTGGCCTAAGTCAGGACCTTCACGGCCTGGGTGTAGCTCAGTGGCAGAACACTTGCCTAGCATGCGGGAAGCCCTGGGTTTTATCCCCAGCACACAAAACATAAACGGTGACAAGTTAGGACCTGCAAAGAGCCAGCACTGCATGAGAGCCACATCCCGCTGAGTCTTCAGGCTGCTGGGCCATTGGTTCCATTCTTCAGATGAGGAAACTGAGGTTCGTGGGGGGGTCAATGACTTGCCCAAGTCACGTGGGAGCCCCTGATCCGTCAGGGCAGGGAAGGGGAGGAAGCCCGGGTCGGGTGGGGTGGCCGTGGGGGCTGGGACTCGGCGTCTTTGGGAAGAGGCAGGCTCCGGAGCTGTTGATCTCTAAATTATAGCGTTGGCGCGCACCGGTTGCTGCGGCAACCGAGTTGTCCTGAACCAGGGAAGTGTATAAACATTGCCACAGATGCACAATTAGATCAGGAAGAAGAATATAACAGAAAATAGAAACTTCCAGCCTTATATAATTCTGGGCCAAAATGTTATCAGGAACCCAGGCCCGGTCTTGGCCCTAGCGGCTCTGGGTACCGGGGCTGCGTGAACTCAGCCCCGGAGCCCGGCGGGCAGGGAAGGTGGAGACAGGCTCTGCCCTCCGTGGGCCAGCTGCGCGCGGGCACCCAGTGGCTGACAGGCCTCCTCCGCTCAAACAGCTGGGACGCTGACAGGCGGGCCCGCTCCTCCCTGACTCCTAGACAGGAAAGGCGAAGGCAGGCAGGAGGGTGATGCCCTTCACTCTGGCTCTTGTGAGAGAGGGATTTCTTGTCCCTATTTTACAGACAAGGAACCTGTGGCTCTGAGAGGGGCACTGGATTAATTGTCAGGTGGCCTAGTGACGCAGCAGGGTGTCACTTCTTCCTCTCCAGGCTCTACACCACGAGCTCATCCATGTGGCTCATCCAAGTTTGGAGCCACTTACTTCCCAGCTGTGTGGCCTTGGGTAGGCCACTCGCCCTCTCTGAGCCACCTGTGACTAGCAGGGGGACGAAACCTCAGGCTTTCCCTCCATGCAGGACATCTCACTGGATTCTTACCGGCCACTGCTCCCGAGAAGTTTGGAGACAGGACAGGACTCTGGGGCTCAGTGGCTGAAAGGAAGAGTGGGAGGGAAGCATCCAAGACAGAACTCAGACCCTCACGGGGCTGCAGGGCCTAGTGCTGTCCAGTGTGCTTCCCTGCATGATGGAAATAGCTTATATCGTACATGTCTTTACCATAGCCATTGGCCACCAGTCGTCCCCAAGCACATGAAATGCTAGTACAAGTGAAGACCTGAAAAGCCAGGCATGGTGGCACATACCTGTGATCCCACAACTCGGGAGGCTGAAGCAGGAGGATCTTGAGGGCAACTTGGGCTACATAGCAAGTTCTAGACCAGCTTGGACTACGTAGTGAGACTCCGTGGCAAAAAAAAAAAAAAAAGAGGAATTGATGTTGCATTTTTATTTAATTAAATATAAAAACCTATAGGTGGTCAGTGGCTACTGCATGGGACAGCACAGGAGGATGTCCAGCCTCTGAGCCAGCCCAAAGTGCAGAGGCTGAACCAGCGGGTGAGTGGGGACAGGGCTCTGGGCCACGGCGGAGGGCAGCGTCAAGATGGGCATCAGGGAGCTTCTGGAACAGTGGGCAAAGGGGGGTCGGAAGAGCAACTCTCAGGGGATCCCAGTCAAGGGGTCCTGCCCAGCTTCCTGGCCAGGTGGACGCCAGTCTCAGAGCTCGGACAGCCAGGTGCACAGGTGTGGGCCTGTGGTCAGAGCCGAACCGCCTGTCACGCGCCGCCTGCTAGGTCCGGGGAGGTCCTGGTCTCAGGTTCTGCCTTCTGGTCTCCCCTGTGGCCCCTGCCCGCCCGGCGCCTCACCTGTCCCGCTTCTCCCCCACAGGCCCTGTGTCTTCCCAGGTGACCACGCCGGCCTCAGGACATGCACGGGCACAGCCGCAACGGGCAGGCCCACGTGCCCCGGCGGAAACGCCGCAACCGCTTCGTGAAGAAAAACGGCCAGTGCAACGTGTACTTCGCCAACCTGAGCAACAAGTCCCAGCGCTACATGGCGGACATCTTCACCACCTGCGTGGACACGCGCTGGCGCTACATGCTCATGATCTTCTCCGCGGCCTTCCTCGTCTCCTGGCTCTTCTTCGGCCTCCTCTTCTGGTGCATCGCGTTCTTCCACGGTGACCTGGAGGCCGGCGCGGCGGCGCCAGCCACGGGGGGCCCGGTGGGCAACGGCGGGGCGGCCCCGGCGGCCCCCAAGCCCTGCATCATGCATGTGAATGGCTTCCTGGGTGCCTTCCTCTTCTCTGTGGAGACGCAGACCACCATCGGCTACGGCTTCCGCTGCGTGACGGAGGAGTGCCCGCTGGCCGTCATCGCTGTGGTGGTCCAGTCCATCGTGGGCTGCGTCATCGACTCCTTCATGATCGGCACCATCATGGCCAAGATGGCGCGGCCCAAGAAGCGCGCACAGACGCTGCTGTTCAGCCACCACGCGGTCATCTCGGTGCGCGACGGCAAGCTCTGCCTCATGTGGCGCGTGGGCAACCTGCGCAAGAGCCACATCGTGGAGGCCCACGTGCGCGCGCAGCTCATCAAGCCTTACATGACCCAGGAGGGCGAGTACCTGCCGCTGGACCAGCGGGACCTCAACGTGGGCTACGACATCGGCCTGGACCGCATCTTCCTGGTGTCGCCCATCATCATCGTCCACGAGATCGACGAGGACAGTCCGCTCTACGGCATGGGCAAGGAGGAGCTGGAGTCGGAGGACTTCGAGATCGTGGTCATCCTGGAGGGCATGGTGGAGGCCACGGCCATGACCACCCAGGCCCGCAGCTCCTACCTGGCCAGCGAGATCCTGTGGGGCCACCGCTTCGAGCCCGTGGTCTTCGAGGAGAAGAGCCACTACAAGGTGGACTACTCACGCTTCCACAAGACCTACGAGGTGGCCGGCACGCCCTGCTGCTCGGCCCGGGAGCTGCAGGAGAGCAAGATCACCGTGCTGCCGGCCCCGCCACCTCCGCCCAGTGCCTTTTGCTATGAGAACGAGCTGGCCCTCATGAGCCAGGAGGAAGAGGAGATGGAGGAGGAGGCGGCCGCGGCGGCCGCGGTGGCCGCAGGCCTGGGCCTGGAGGCGGGCTCCAAGGAGGAGGCAGGCATCATCCGGATGCTGGAGTTTGGCAGTCACCTGGATCTGGAGCGCATGCAGGCCACCCTCCCCCTGGACAACATCTCCTACCGCAGGGAGTCGGCCATCTGACCTCCAGGCCCTGCCCGCCTCGCCTCCTGCCGGCCGAGCCCCTGCCCCGGTGGGAAGCCAGGATGCCTCTCCCACACTCGTGACAGAGCTGGCCCAGCTCTGTGGACCTCCTGGAGGAAGGTGGGGACATCCAAGACGGGGGGACCCTTCCTGCCGACTGCAGAGCCCAGGCCTGGGGAGCGCCTGGGGACTCGGTCCAAGCTCCCAGCTCCTGGCCGCCAGTGGCTGCGGCCCCTGCACCTTCCGCCCTTCCCCACTGACCCGTCAAGGACGTGCCCCGCCCCCGCGCCCTCCGAACTTGGGGAAGGCGGCTGGACTGCTGGGGAGTGGGCATTTTGGGGTTCTGGGGGGGCAGGGGGTGGGGCTGGGAGGGGGGAGGGGCGCGTTTCTCTTGCATGACTACAGCCTTGTGCTCTCCTGACTTTCTTTTGTAAATATCTACAAACGGAGTGAGCTAGAGACGCCAGATCCACCTCCGCCATTTTTACCTGCAGGACAAGGGGGTGTTGCCCCTCTCTTCCCCCCACCGTCATGCCCAGCCCCTTCCCCTGTCCAGCTGGCTGTCCCCAGAGCCCCTTCAAAGCCAAAGTGTGTCCCCTGGATGGTGTTGGGTTTGGGTGCAGAGGCGGAACCCCAGGAGGCAGGCTGAGGACCTGTCCCCCTCCCTCCCTGCGGTCCTCGGGTCCCCCTGGCCCAGCTCGGACTGATAATGGAGTTTGTAACTATCTATTTTTAATAAAGTATATGGTCCGATAGGCCGAGCTGGCTGAGAGGGAGCGGTAGGCAGCACAATGAGGGAGCGTGTGTGCACGCGTGTCTGTGTGTCCCTGTCTGACACTCTGGCCCTGCAGGGGTCGCATTGCCTGCCGCTGTCCTCCCAGGGTGGAGGAGGGGTCCTGAGTGGGCATCAGGGAACCTGGGCCTGAGTCAAAGCTTTGGGGCAGTGGAAAGGGCTCCCTGACTTGCACACTCACGCTCACACAGACACACATGTGCGCACACACGTGTGACGAGGCTGACTGCGGGACACGTGGTAGGCAGGATTCCAGGAGCCAGTGGGAAGCTTGGTCAGTCCAGGCCTGGTCTTTGCCTCACTGTGGGGCCCCCTGAAAACTCAGCTCTCTAAAAACTCAGGTACCCATGATTCCCACGGCCTCAAGGTCCCCTCGGCGGCTCCCAGCCCAGCCTCTCTTGAATGCACGCCAACGGCTGCACCTGCTGCCAGGCCAGCCGGAGTAAGATCCAAGGCTACCCCATCCACATGTCGCGGGGGCCTGGCAGCTGGCTGGGGGCTGTGCGTCTGCTCTGGGGACCTCTCTCTTCCTCTGTGGGTTGGCATCAGATCCTTTCACGACATCTCAGGACAGCCTCCTAGGAGCAGAAGCAGAAGCCGCCAGGTCTCAGAGGCCTAGACTTGAACCTGTATAATGTCATTTCCGGGCATGCCATTGGCCGTCCAGGTCACCCAGCCAACCGAGGTGCACAGGGTAGGAAATGAGATGCCACCTCTTGGGAGAGAAGCCAAGTCCCTGCTGCAAAGGGCATGCACGAAAAGAAGAGGGGTGGCCATGCAAGGTGACCTATTTCAGGCCTCTTGAAAGCTTGAGAGTCTGCAGCCGCCTTCAGCTCTTGCTCTATTCCACCACCAGCTGCGTACGCAGTACTCAGATTACAGGAAAGCAGAAGGCATCTTCCCTGGTCCTAGGGATCTTCCATGCCAAGGTGCCAGCTACCTCAGGGTATGCAGGGAGCCAGCCACCAGGCTCACCCACTGTGAGGCGTTGTGGGCGGCCATGGGAACAGCCCCCTTCCATCAGCCCTGCAACGAGGCTGCCGTGGAGTAAACTGCAGGGCATCTGCGTGCTTTAACAATTTAACAAAGGAGCCCAAGGCTTCCTTTGGTGGTGGGGGGGTGCCCCCCTGGATCCAAGGTGACACCTTCCACATCCTTCAGTTCAGGTTTCCTCCAGCCCTGCGAGCCCCATGTCCTCCTCTCCTGCCTGCTTCATTCCCCAGGGCTTTGGGCAACAAGGCGTGAGAGGGGAACTCAGGGCCGCCCCCAGACTGGGACTCATCCCACAGGACACACAGCTGTCCCCCTGGGGAGAGGCCAGGCTGCAGGAGGGACAGGGACACACGGAGGGCTGGTGCTAGGAGGAGCAGCCAGGGACATCTTAGGGTCTCCCCTCCCAAGCATCTTCTGTCACCGGTTGCCACTTGCTGGGACGTTGGGGCAATCGCTCCTCTACGGTGGCCTGCCTCTCTGGTCATAGACAAGGTGACCCCTAAAGCCAAGACTTTCGGGCTGGAGTGGCAAAGGGGGAGGACAGTGTGGGCAGGCAAGTGACAGAGAGAGAGAGAGAGAGAGAGAGAGAGAGAGAGAGAGAGAGAGAGAGAGATGGTGCTGCAGGAGGCTCCAGGTGCAGGAGGCCTCGGCTTCTGCAAACTTGCGCTCGCTCCCTCGAGGCCTCAGCTCTGCTCGGTGCTGACTCACCTTCCTCTCCCACCTGCTCCCCTGTCATCGCCTCCCACCCGCCTCCCGCTCGCTCGCTCGCTCACATCCTCCCTCCACGACGGCTCGGTGGCCCGATGGCTGCCTCTGGGGGCGGCAGGAGCTCGGGGCCCCTGGCTACCGTTGCGCACATGGGTACATCAGCCTTGCAGGGCCTGGAGGTGCCGCCCTGCTCCTCTTCCCCAGCCCAGCCCACTCCCCCTGAGCCAGGAAAGGGGGACCCCACGCCACCTGCCACGCCCGGCCTCCCCGCTGCAGCCCAGCCCGGTTGGGGGCGGGGGGACCTGGGATGGGCAGGTGGCTGGAGGAGCAGGAAGGGAAGGGGCTGGAAGCCTCCCCTCTGTGCCCCGACCTGGCCGGGCTGCCTGACCCCGTCCGCTCTCCTGGCCGCTGTGCAGTGTCCTCCTGCCGGCCCAGGACCACGGCTGGCTGAGAACGTGGGTCCCTTCTCCAAAAAATCGGGACGGCACTAAAAACCATCAAAAGCACTAAAATATAAAACATTTCCCTTTCTTACAATTTCCTCCTCTGCTCGTGCTCACGCGTTGTGTCACTGAAGCTCACGGACAGAGCACAGATTCAAAAATAAAACTAAGAAGTTCAAGACAGCCGGGTGGGGGTGTGCGCCTGGGCTCCCGGCTCCTCGGGCTGAGGTTGGGGGGTGGGATGGAGGCCAGCCCAGGGAGCCTAGAGAGCTGGCCCAGGACGGTGCGCCTCCTGTCTTTCAGAAGATGCCAGGAGGTCTTGGGGACAAGAGTGGGGTGGACAAACAGGTGCTTGGGTCCCTCCCCACCCCTTCCCCCAAGCACCTGAGCTCCCAGGACACCCTCTGTCCATTTACTGCCTGTCTCCGCTGGCCTGGGTCCTGGTGGGCACCGGACGTGAGCTCCGCCCCCTTGGGTCTGCACTCTGCACTGAAGTGACCCTCAGAGGTCCCAAAGAGCTTCTCATGTACCCCACATGAGAGGGAGGTGAATCTCATGGGAGGTAAATCTCCGGGACACCATGGCTGTCCACCCCGGATACGGGTGCCATGGCAACAGGACAGGTAGGCCAGGCCCCTGCAGGAGGGAAGGAGGGAGGGAGGCATGAGCAGCTCTCTCCGTGGGAGGAAGGCTGAGAGGACCTCGCAGACACCCGGGGCAGCTGCAGAGCCCCCTCCTCAGAGCCAGGCCCCCGGCCCCTGGCGTCCTCCACAGGGCCGCTTCTCCCAGGATGGGGCCCTGGCCCTGCTCAGTCCTGAGGCTCCCTGCCAAGCTGAGGGAGGTCAGCTCCTGCCCCACCTCCTCACCCTGTCCCAGGCCCGTCCTCCCGCCCTCCTCCCTCTGCCCAACGCCTGGGGGAGGGGGCTGTGCCATGAGAATGGAGCTGGTGACAGACGAGAGACAGAGAGAGAGAGAGAGAGAGGGAGGGACGGAGAGGAACACGTGGAGCGGGGCTGTGAGGGGACACAGCACAGCCCGAGGCCAGGGCAGGGCCTCTGAGTGGAGGCTGCCACGCCACCTACCCTGAGCGCTGAGGGAATTCGGGCTCCTGCTGAGGGCTGGCCAGGGCTAGAGCAGCAAGGCACTAAAACCAAGGTTGGAGAGGAGGAAAACCCAGACCAGAGGAGACCAAGAAGCTGGGGACGCCCCCTCCTGCACCTGTGTGTGTGGAAGGGGACAGGTCTGTGGCCTGTCCAGCCCAGTGGCTCTGTGACCTGACCCCGTGCCCTCTTCCCTGGGAGACAGGGATGTGGCTGACGCCCTGTGCGGTGGACACGGGGCAACTCCGACCTCTCTGTGGGGCTCCCTGGGGACCCCACCCCACTGCACACCCCCCTCAGACTCTCGGTGGCGTGGGAGGGTAACCCTCCAGCCCTCATTCACAACAGTGAGATGCCTGCACTCTCCAGCTTCGGAACCCCGGCCTTTTGTTTTTGGTTTGGGTTTTTGCTAAGTTTCCCAGGCTGGCCTTGAACTCATGATCCTCCTGCCTCAGCCTCCTGTGTGCTGGATCCGGGCACAGGCTGCCACGCAAGGCTCTGACACTTTGATTTCTCATCAGGCGTAAGCCGAAGCAGAGTCAGGCTGATGGCAGAGAGAGGGTGAGGAGGAGTGAGGGGTGCTGAGGGGCTAGCTGCCCCAGGGAGCCGGCCAGGTGAGCAGGTGAGGCTGTCGGGTGAAGGTGCGAGGCCCTTCCTGCCGCCGGGGAGCAGAGGATGGAGCGACGGAAGTGGGGTGCACGTGGGCTGCAGCAGGCAGGGCAGAGGCAGCAGCCAGATGTGCCGGGGCTCCTCCACACCTTCACCCCGTCCAGGCCTCAGGTCCTGAAGGGTCTGGGGCCGCCGGCGGGGACAGGAGGGGCAGCCTTCCGGGCTCCGAGTCAGGCGGCCCGAGAAGGGGAGATGAGCCTCAGTGGGGGCTCGGGGGACAATTTGTGCCGGGAAAGTGGAGAGGGCGGAGTGGCTCCCACGCTCCCGGGGGTTGTGAGGGAGCTAGGATCTGCACCGTCCTGTCTCCCCATCCCTGTCCCCGGAGACTCGTGGGTTAAGGGCCCAGGAGCCGCCTGTGGCACTGCGGGGAGATGGCAGAGTCTTCGGGACCTACAGGAAGGTCACGGAGGCCGCAGCCTTGACAGGAGACGGGGACCCCCTTCCTGTCTCTGTCCCAGCCACCAGGATATTCAGGCTCCCAGAGGCCCCAAGCTAACAGGCCAAGCGACCTCGAGCTGAGACCTCCAGAAGCAGAAGAGCCGCTCCTCCCGAAGGCGATTCTCCCGGGTACACGCCTGGGGACAAGCTGGCCAGCGGAGCCGGGCAGCAGGAGGGCCTCCCCCCAGCACCCCCGCCAGAGTCACGGCCTCGGCCACACTGCCTGGCCTGCACTACCCACCCTTGTGGCCGTGGTGTGGAGACACCTGCTCTTACTGGGCACACGGGGACTTGCTAAGGGGTCTCCCCAGCCAGAGGAGAGTTGGGGGAGGCAGAGGGACTGAGACCCCAGTCTGTCCCATGTGACCTTGGCCAAGGTATGGTCAGAGCCATCGGGCACCCTGCATGGGCAGGGGACCAGCTCCGCTGGGCTGTGTGGCTGTGTGGAGTCTCTGGGGCTCTGACCGCTCGCTGTGGGGTGTGGGGAGGTAGGGGGAGCCCAGGGGGATGCTTGGGAATCCTCCTTCCCATCCTCGCCTGCAAACTGCATCTCTCAGGGGAGGGGCCCTGCTCCCTGGCTGGGGACAGGACAGGGTCCAAAGGCCTCTGCAGCCATCATCTGAGTGCTGGGCTCCTGTTCCCAGGAGACAGGGTCCCCGCCATACAGGGGAGAACACAGGCCCAGCACCCTGAGTGTCCTCACCCCTCCCACGGCAGCAGCTGTTGGCTGCATTAGGAAGGGTATCCTCTTCTGCTGCAGCGGTCAGCACGACCCCACTCGCCCCTCCTCGAGGAGGTCCACCCCAGAGGGGCCGTTTCTAAGATTTCTCTCCCCTCCACCGGCCCCCAGGGTCCCCAAGGTCACTGTGATCCTGGGGCTGCTGTACCACAGCGCCACCCTGTGGCGGCCTTGGGGGCTGCCGGCTGCCCATTTTACAGAAGCGCAGATGGAGGCTTTGAAGGTGAAAGCACTTTTCTCTCCCCTTAGTACTAAGGATTGAACCCAGCTACTGAGCTACATCCCCAGCCCTTTTTTTTTTTTTTTTTTTTTTTTTTTTTTTGAGACAGGGTCTTGCTAAAGCGATGTTGCCTAGGCTAAGCTTGAACTTGCCATCCTCCTGCCTCAGCATCCCAGGGTACTGTGACTACAGGTGTGCCGCACCTTGCTGGGCTGTCAAAGAGCCTTCGAGGTCAAGCAGTGAAGAAGAGGCGGAAGGGTGTTGGGGTGGAGTTGGGGGTGGGGTTGGAAGCTGGATTAGAACCTTTGTCTTGGTATTTGCTTGGCACACAGCCCTGTTTTGTTTTTTATATCATTCCTACAAATGTAAATTGACACATAAGAATCATTTCTGTAGCCCACATGTTTCTATAGAACATAGTCTAACCCTGCTGGGTTAGACTGACAGCTAGTTTTGTCCTGGGCCCACCTGGGTCGCCCACATCCTGATGGGGATGTGGCTAGAACCTTAGGTTAAGGACTTTGTTCTGGCTGGGCATGGTGGCACACATCCCAGCACTTAGAAGGCTGAGGCAGGAAAATTTCTATGAGTTCAAGGCCAGCCTGAACTATATAGTAAAACTTTGTCTCAAAAAAAAAAAAAATTGCTGGCTGATGGCTGTCTAGAGGTTCTGTTTTCTTTTTTTTCTTTCTTTTTGAGATAGAGTCTCACTGTGTAGCCCAGGCTGGCCTCAAACTCAAGGTGATTCTCCTGCCTCAACCTCCCAAGTGCTGGGATTACAGGTGTGCACCACCACTATTGGTTTAGGGGATCATTTTATACTATTCTATACTTTTGCATATGCTTAATAGTTTCCATAGTAAAAATACTTTTCCAAAATATATATTTGTATTATTGCATATTCTTTTCCCAAAATATTGGGTTTCATTTTGACCTTTTCATACATGTATGCAACATTTTTTTATCATATCTCTTCCCCTCTCTTGCCTTCTGTCTCTCCACACCCCTAAGACAAATATTTTTGAAATAAGAAACTGAGTCACCTCTTACTAAAGCCAACTGGTAATTTGGGATGATTTGACTCACATACAGTGAGGGGGAGGCAATCAACTGTCCTTCTTTGTCTGGAAATAGATCAAAATCAAAAGATTTGTCATGATATTAATGTCAAACAAACTAGGCTTCAAGGCAAAAGCACTATTAGCAACAAAGGAAGAGTGCAGAGTTCCCGGAAGGCATAACAATTCCAAACTCATACACACCTAATAACATTACTTCAAAATATACAAAGCAAAACAAGGAGAAATTAAGCAGTCCACTGTCATACCTAAGAGACTTTATCACACCCTTCCAGGGACTGGCACATCCAGAAGATGAAAGAGTCTCTGAGGATATGGAAGACACAAACAAAACAGATTCTCAGTACCATTACTAATCAGGGGAATGCAAATTAGGGCCATAATGAGGTGGAATTCTACTCCCACCAGTTTGGCAGATCCTGAAGTTGTGCGGTGCCAGATTTGGCGAGGATGTGGATCCGCGGGGATTCTCATCCACATGGGGTGGGAGTGCAGATTGGTTCCATCTCCTTGGAAAATAAAGTCGAACGTGTTGCCCACGTGATAATTTAGCAATTCGCATCCTCAATTTATTATTCAGGGAAACCTATATGTGGCCAATCTATAAGGAAAACCAAAGGGGGGCGGTGTGCTTCTATGGAAGGTGCAGGGATGTGTTCCTAAGGTGCTGGCAATTTTTATGGGTGGTGAGCACAGGGTGTTCCTAATATTTTTCTTTAAATTTCGTATCTCTGTGCATGCCTGTAATCCCACCATGTGGGAGGCTGAGGCTGGAGAATCATCCCAAGTAGTACATAGCCTGGCCTACATAGTAAGTTCAAGGCCATGCTGAACTACAGAGTGAGACAAACAAATTGAATAAATAAATAAATAACGTTAGGTGTTTTTTGGCATGCATATCTTATGACAAAAAGGTATGTCAGCTGGGTGTGGTGGTG